AATGAATTGGTAAGTCTATCATAAATACAACGATTATAAACCTGAACCACAAGGGGCGTCCTCGAGTCTATTATCATTATTCAGCGCGGAAATAAAGTAAAATTAGTCCTCTATTGGGGGTCTCTTGGCGGACCTGAAGCAATCACGGGAAAGGGAATTTGGAAAGATTAGTAAACCGCGTGTGATCGCTTGGCCGGGGGCGGGTCGGGAATACACGCGGCTGTCTGGCGAGAAGAACTTATATGTATATGGATACACACACAGACACACAGATATATATATATTATATAATATATATATATATATATATATATATATATGTATATATATATATATATAATATATATATATATTATATATATATATATATATATATATATATATATTATATATATATATATATATATATATATATATGTATATGTGTGTGTGTAGATATACATTTATACATACATATATATATATATATATATATATATATATATATATATATGTGTGTGTGTGTGTGTGTGTGTGTGTGTGTGTGTATGTGTGTGTATGTGTGTGTGCGTGTGTGTGTGCGTGTGCGTGTGTGTGTGTGTGTGTGTGTACCACATGCCCACACACACACATACACACACACACACACAGGTATATATATATATATATATATATATATATATATATATATACATATGTGTGTGTGTGTGTGTGTGTGTGTGTGTGTGTGTGTGTGTGTGTGTGTGTGTGTGTGTGTGTGTGTGTGTGTGTGATCAGCGAGACAAAGTAGCGATAATATAAAGCAGGAAGGTGCAGATGGTAAACGAGGGACACACAGCAGAAAAAAAACAGAAATGAATGGGAAGAAAATGACAAAAATGTGAACGCATTCGGAAGGGCGACTCTCGTGTTTAAGTCCATATTTGTCTCATTGTCAACTAGCCTTTAAACAACGCTGATTGGCACCTGGAAGCGTTTAATGAATAGCACACACGCGTATTTCAAACACAAGATTCATACAAAAAAGAAGCTTCCACGCTCTTAAAAAAGTAAATAAACATTCTATCTCCGCCATGTTTCGCTCTACCTCAATATTCGTTAGTGACTCACATATGGAACAGCATACGACCTACATAAAAAAAGAAAAAAAAAAATACCAGCAGGTGTCGATACCAGCATCATTAATCATATCAATCACAATTAGCCATTTCATTTTTTATTCATTTCGCGGACTTTTCCCTCCAACTTATAAATTCATTTCGAAATTATTATTATTTTAAACATGTTCGAAGTAATTTTTTTTTTTCATTTTTTATTTCATTTTTTATTCATTTCACGGACTTTTCCCTCCAACTTATAAATTCATTCCGAAATTACTATTATTTTAAACATGTTCGAAGTAAATGACCTACGTATGAGAGGGGAGTCAGGTGGAAGGGCTGTGTATAGCTCCGGCAGCACTATTGATCCTGAAGAAACGCCCGTTCTTGCGAGCGAAGTGCGGGCGCGTTCAGCTGAGGCCAAGACGAAGGTGAGTGACCATGGAAGCACGGGTCAGGCGCCTGTGCTTGGGGTGTGCATGTGTCACTCGCTTTGTTGATGTTTAAAAACATATACATACGCACACACACACACGCGCGCAACACACACACACACACACACACACACACACACACACACACACACACACACACACACACACACATATATATATAATATATATATATATATATATTATATATATTATATATATTATATATACATATAAGTATTATGAATATATACATACACACACACACACATACATATTTATATATATATTATATATATATATATATATATATATATATATGTATGTAAGTATGTATGTATATAGACATATATGTATGCATGTGTATTATCATACATTTTTACATATAGACATATATAGGTATACATATACACACACGCACACACACACACACACACACACACACACACACACACATATATATATATATATAATATATATATATATATATATATATATATATATATATATATATATATATATATATATATATATGTATATATATATATATATAGATATACATTATATACATATATACTATAACATAATATATATATATATATATATATATATATAATATATAATATATATGTATATATATATGTATATATATATGTATATATATATATATATATATATGTATATATATATATATATATATATATATATATGGGGGGGGGGGTGCGTGCGTGTGTGTATACATACATATGTATGTATACATATATATATATATATATATATATATATTATATATAATATATATATGTGTGTGTGTGTGTGTGTGTTGTGTGTGTGTGTGTGTGTGTGTGTGTGTGTGTGTGTGTGTGTGTAAATATGTACGTATACTTATATGTATATATATAAGTACATGTGTGTTTACATATGTGTATGTGTGTTTATTTGTCAAGCACACACACACACATATATATAGCTATATAACCGTGTTTCTTTCTATAATCTGCGATTTCGAGAAATCATTTTAGATCCGATGATATAATATCTCTCTATCCCGTTTCATCCTTTCAATCGCGATTATGACGTCACTCAGCGACTGAGAGTGAATTTGAAGAATAAAACAAGAGATGAATTAAAGATGAATCAAATCACACATCAGCCATGGTGTGATTGTCAGAAATGGTGTGTATCGTGACACAGATCGCTTCGTTCAAGAAAGTCAATACAGTTGCCTCTTATGTTCTTCAAAAATTACAACATGATTACATATCGTTATGATCACTGGGTGCCAGCGCCTGACGTCATCACATATCGAATGTCACGACAACGAAATACATGTTGCGAAAATGTATGTGTTAGTAGGTAAATGCGTCAGCAAGTATACGAGTCATCGGGCAAATATGTCACTAGTTAAGAGTGGTGTCCAGGAATATTGCCGTGAGTAGAATGCGCTGCCTGGAAAATATGTCACTACATAAATAGCAGGTGAGACTTGCCAGGTAAAAATCACAAGGTCTCCCCTTGTGATTCGCCAGGTAAGACTCATTGTTTTCGTTATTGTCATTATCATTATGATGGTGATGGTGGTGATGATTATCATTATCATTATTGTTATCATTAACATGGCCACTATTGTAATTATCATCATTATTATTATCATTAATATTATTATCATTATTATTATCATTACTATCATTGATATAATCATTTTATTATCATTACTATCATTGATATAATCATTTTATTACCATTGTCATTATTATCATTTTATTATCATTGTCATTATTATCAGTATTGTTATTATCATTATCATTATTTGTTCTATTAGTTTTTCTTTCTTTTGTTCTGTAAAGCACATATGCCATCAAGGAAACAGAACAGCTAACCTGGCAAACACGTCACCAGGTTCCATAATTAAACGCTTAGAGAAATACGTTATCGATCAGGTAATGACAACACCTGGTAGATATGTCGCCAGGTTAATTGATCCGTTAAGTGAATATATCAGACCCATGAACATATTCTAAAGAAATGTTCTACTAGCAAAACACATACGAAATAAGATATAGAAGTACATATCATATAAATAGAATACATACAAACGTAACCATGTGTGTGTGTGTGTGTGTGTGTGTGTGTGTGTGTGTGTGTGTGTGTGTGTGTGTGTGTGTGTGTGTGTGTGTGTGTGTGTGTGTGTGTGTGTGTCAAAAACACTTTCACTAAACAAATGTACATCAATAAACGTAAATTTCTTATCTTTCCTTGACATCTCTGCAAGGGCAACCACCCCTAGCTAGGTACACCTCACATGATAAGTTCGTCAACAAGCGAATATATACACGGCAACTACACGAACGGGTTGTTCTTCAATAACGCATCATTAGGGGTGTGAATGGTCATTTGTCTACCGTATGGACATGATGGTGATCAAGTCGATGATAAACGCATGGTAAAGGGAAACCTGCAGTACACAAAGCTGGTTTTATTTAGATGAAGGTTTTTCTTATGTCTGTCATCATTTGTTCGTGCTTGATATGAAAATCGCCTTTTAAGTCACTCTCTGGTATCAAAAGGCTGAATGTAAGATTAATGACTGATAGTTATTATAAAATGAACACAGTAGCTGGTGATGAAAAATGTGTACAATAATATACTTGGGTGATGATACTTAAGAATGCGTCTATATATATGAGTTTCTGTTGGTAAAGTAAAAAAAAAAAAAAAAAAAAAAAAAAAAACGGATTTCTCGATTTTATGAAAAAGTATAATAATGACAAGTAGAAAAGGAGAGAAACAAATTATCAAACAGTAAACAAGAAAAACAGTGAAGAACGGTGTAAGGAAGACCAGACAATTAAGAAAGTCACGAGAAGAGAAAAAAATACAAAAGACGAAATAAATCTTAGTGAGAAAATTTTGAAGGTTCGTCGGTTAGTTACCGATACCGGCCTCTGCTAACGAGCCCACGATCCGACTGCTCTGTTATAAAGAATAATATCTCTTGATTATCCAACATTCGTGACATGACATAAATAATCGCACCGCCATCACAAAATCCATCTATGGCACAAACGTCTTCGCTTGTTATTCTATTCTATGTACACAAAAACACTTCTTTTCTCTAACACACAGACACGTGCCCACCATGCTTTGCAAGCACCACAGAATCGCACAACGGAGAACACTGATGCAGAACACGACACATAAGTGCTTGCTTCGTGCAGGTTTGTGCTTTTGTGATCAATTAACAACACCAATAACAGCAACACCAACACGACCGCATCAGGGACAACGGTGACAAGACTGGTGAAACAGTGAGTGGCGTGGGAGTGGCACATCCTAGGCTTTGACATTCCTTGTGTATATGCATATATATATATATATATATATATATATATATATAATATATATATATATATATATATATGTATGTATATGTATATGTATATATATACATATATTGCATATCGTTCTGTGTGCGTATCTCTATGTTTAC